AGCGCACAAAATGCGCGCTAAAAGGAATAACAGGAAAAGTCGGTCGATGGATCTATAATTCCTCACTAACAGAACACAGAGAGTAGTCGTCAACAGAGTAAAGTCCGAGGCAGCTACGGTGACAAGCTCTGTCCCACAAGGCACAGTACTAGCTCCCATCTTGTTCCTCATCCTCATATCCGACATAGACAAGGATGTCAGCCACAGCACCGTGTCTTCCTTTGCAGATGACACCCGAATCTGCATGACAGTGTCTTCCATTGCAGACACTGCAAGGCTCCAGGCGGACATCAACCAAATCTTTCAGTGGGCTGCAGAAAACAATATGAAGTTCAACGATGAGAAATTTCAATTACTCAGATATGGTAAACATGAGGAAATTAAATCTTCATCAGAGTACAAAACAAATTCTGGCCACAAAATAGAGCGAAACACCAACGTCAAAGACCTAGGAGTGATTATGTCGGAGGATCTCACCTTCAAGGACCATAACATTGTATCAATCGCATCTGCTAGAAAAATGACAGGATGGATAATGAGAACCTTCAAAACTAGGGAGGCCAAGCCCATGATGACACTCTTCAGGTCACTTGTTCTATCTAGGCTGGAATATTGCTGCACTCTAACAGCACCTTTCAAGGCAGGTGAAATTGCCGACCTAGAAAATGTACAGAGAACTTTCACGGCGCGCATAACGGAGATAAAACACCTCAATTACTGGGAGCGCTTGAGGTTTCTAAACCTGTATTCCCTGGAACGCAGGAGGGAGAGATACATGATTATATACACCTGGAAAATCCTAGAGGGACTAGTACCAAACTTGCACACGAAAATCACTCACTACGAAAGCAAAAGACTTGGCAGACGATGCACCATCCCCCCAATGAAAAGCAGGGGTGTCACTAGCACGTTAAGAGACCATACAATAAGTGTCAGGGGCCCGAGACTGTTCAACTGCCTCCCAGCACACATAAGGGGGATTACCAACAGACCCCTGGCAGTCTTCAAGCTGGCACTGGACAAGCACCTAAAGACAGTTCCTGATCAGCCGGGCTGTGGCTCGTACGTTGGTTTGCGTGCAGCCAGCAGCAACAGCCTGGTTGATCAGGCGCTGATCCACCAGGAGGCCTGGTCACAGACCGGGCCGCGGGGGCGTTGACCCCCGAAACTCTCTCCAGGTAAACTCCAGGTAAACACAGGGGTCACACAGTGTGTGTGTGTGTGTACTCACCTAGTTGAGGTTGCAAGGGTCGAGTCCTAGCTCCTGACCCCCGCCTCTTCACTGGTCGCTACTTGGTCACTCTTCCTGAACCGTGAGCTTTATCATACCTCTGCTTAAAGCTGTGTGTGTGTGTGTGTGTGTGTGACCCAGCAGTTAATATTTTCACCAATAACTCATTACAGTTGTGACTGGGTGTGGACGTGTGAATTGCTCATTACTCTATAATTTGTTCATGATTGTAGCCGTGTATAAACGTAAGTAAATTTACTTACAGGATTCTTTACCTTAGTAACTTGCGAGTTCATTACCTTTGTACCTAGTTCAACTATCAAAACTTTGGAGGCCCAGTCCCTGGATACATTATGTACCTCTGTAATCTGTAAATACCTTTATAACTTGTCATGATTGTGACCAGATCTACCTGCAGTTCATTACCTTTGTAACTTGCTCAGCTATCAAAACTTTGGGGCTCAGTCCCTGGACCCATTGTGTACCTCTGTAATCTTTTGACTAACCTGGAGTTTACCTGGAGAGAGTTCCGGGGGTCAACGCCCCCGTGGCCCTGTCTGTGACCAGGCCTCCTGGTGGATCAGAGCCTGATCAACCAGGCTGTTACTGCTGGCTGCGCGCAAACCAACGTACGAGCCACAGCCCAGCTGGTCAGGAACCGACTTTAGGTGCTTGTCCAGTGCCAGCTTGAAGACTGCCAGGGGTCTGTTGGTAATCCCCCTTATGTATGCTGGGAGGCAGTTGAACAGTCTTGGGCCCCTGACACTTATTGTATGGTCTCTTAACGTGCTAGTGACCCCTGCTTTTCATTTGGGGGATGTTGCATCGTCTGCCAAGTCTTTCGCTTTCGTAGTGAGTGATTTTCGTTTGCAAGTTCGGTACTAGTCCCTCTAGGATTTTCCAGGTGTATATAATCATGTATCTCTCCTGCCTGCGTTCCAGGGAATACAGGTTTAGGAACCTCAAGCACTCCCAGTAATTGAGGATGGGTATGGGATGCATAATAAACATATTAAAGTAACTGGATAAAGGTAGGTGATGTACTGAAGCATCTGTGGAGACAAAGAACATCATCCATGGAGGCAAAAGGGGGAATGTATGATAAAGTGGCACCAACACTCTTATATGGGTGTGAAGCATGAGTGGTGAATGTTGGAGTGAGTAGGAAGCTGAAGGCAGTGATGTGTCTGAGGGAAATGTATGGTGTGATTACCTGGAGAGAGTTCCGGGGGTCAGCGCCCCCACGGCCCAGTCTGTGACCAGGCATACATAAGGGGGATTACCAATAGACCCCTGGCTGTCTTCAAGCAGGCACTGGACAAGCACCTAAAGTCGGTACCTGACCAGCCAGGCTGTGGCTCGTACGTTGGATTGCGTGCAGCCAGCAGTAACAGCCTGATTGATCAGGCTCTGATCCACCAGGAGGCCTGGTCACAGACCAGGCCACGGGGACGTTGACACCCAGAACTCTCTCCAGGTAAACTCCAGGCATGGTGGATCACGGCCTGATCAGCCAGGCTGTTACTGCTGGCTGCACGCAATCCAATGTACGAACCACAGCCCAGCCGGGCTGTGGTTCGTACATTGGCGCTTGTCCAGTGCCTGCTTGAAGACAGCCAGGGGTCTATTGGTAATCCTCCTTATTTATGCTGGGAGGCAGTTGAACAGTCTTGGGCCCCTAACACTTATTGTGTTGTCTCTTAACGTGCTAGTGACACCCCTGCTTTTCATTGGGGGGATGTTGCATCGTCTGCCGAGTCTTTTGCTTTCGTAAGGAGTGATTTTCGTGTGCAAGTCTGGTACTAGTCCCTTTAGGATTTTCCAGGTGTATATAATCATGTATCTCTCCCGCCTGCGTTCCAGGGAATACAGGTTCAGGTACTTCAAGTGTTCTCAGTAATTATGGCGTTCTATCTCAGTTATGCGCGCCGTGAAGGTTCTCTGTACATTTTCTAATTCAGCAATTTCACCTGCCTTGAAAGGTGCTGTTAGTGTGCAGCAATATTCCAGACTAGATAGAACAAGTGACCTGAAGTGTCATCATGGGCTTGGCATCCCTAGTTTTGAAGGTTCTCATTATCCATCCTGTAATTTTTCTAGCAGATGCGATTGATACGATGTTATGATCCTTGAAGGTGAGATCCTCCGACATGATCACTCCCAGGTCCTTCAAATTAGTTTTTACGATCTATTGTGTGGTTGGAATTTGTTTTATACTCTGATGAAGTTTTAATTTCCTCACATTTACAATATCGGAATAATTGACATTTCTCATCGCTGAACTTCATACTGTTTTCTGCAGCCCATTGAAAGATTTGGTTGATGTCTGCTTGGAGCCTTGCAGTGTCTTCAATGGAAGATACTGTCATGCAGATTCGGGTGTCATCTGCAAAGGAAGACACGGCACTGTGGCTTATATCCCTGTCTATGTCTGATATGAGGATGAGGAACAAGATGGGAGCGAGTACTGTGCCTTGTGGAACAGAGCTTTTCACCGTAGCTGCCTTAGACTTTGTTGACTACTACTCTTTGTGTTCTGTTTGTCAGGAAATTATAGATCCATCTACCAACTTTTCCCGTTATTTCTTTGGCACATTTTTTGTGGGCTATCACACCATGGTCACACTTGTCGAAGGCTTTTGCAAAGTCTGTGTATATTACATCAGCATTGTTTTTGACTTCTAGTGCATCCAGGACCTTGTCGTAGTGATCCAGTAGTTGGGACAGGAGTGACCTGCATAGAATTTGTATACCTGGAGAGGGTTTCGGGGATCAGTGCCCCCACAGCCATCAATACTCCTGCAGGCCTGTCATCAATGTCCCCGCTGCCCGGTCATCAACGTCCCCGCTGCCCGGTCATCAATGCCCCCGCTGCCCGGTTGTCAACGCCCCCGCTGCCCGGTCATCAACGTCCTCGCTGCCCGGTCATCAACGTCCCCGCTGCCTGGTCATCAACGTCCCCGCTGCCCGGTCATCAAAGTCCCTGCTGCCCGGTCATCAACGCCCCCGCTGCCCGGTCGTCAACGCCCCCGTGGGCTGGTCATCAACGCCCCCGTGGGCTAGTCATCAGCGCCCCGGTCATCAATGCCTGCTGCCCGGTCATCAATGCCTCTGCGGGCTGGTCATCAACGCCCCCGTGGCCGGGTCGCGTTTGGAGATTAGGAGGTAATAGTAAGTTCGCCAATATTGTCCCAGCCTGAGTCTCTTCCAGACGCAGGATTAGAAGGTGCGGGGTTACAAAATATATTATCCAGAGGGTTAAGGAGGGGTTATTTAGGTGGTTTGGACATTTAGAGGATGGAGCAAAATAGGACGACAAAGGAAGGCAGGGTAGAGGTCGTCCTAGAACAGGTTTGAGGAAGGAGGTAGGGAGATGTTTTTTTTATGCGAAGGGCTTGGACATCCAGCAGGCATATGTGAGTGTATTAGATAAGAATGCAGGCAGGTGGTTTTTGTGACTTGACGTGCTGTTGGAGTGTGAGCAAAGTAACATTTATGAATTGATTCAGGGAAACTGGTTTGACGGACTTGAGTCCTGGAGGTGGAAAGTACAGTGTTAGCATTCTGAAGGAGGGGTGGGAATATTGCAGTTTGGAGGGACATATGAAATGTAGTATCAGAGTATCTTTGGGAAGACAGTGATGGTGAAAGTGTTTCTTTTTTTCGGGTCACTTTGCCTCGGTGGGAGACCGCCGGCGTGTTAAAAAATATTATTATTATTATCGTTAATTATCATTATTATTATTGTTATTAATAATAATATTGGTGGTGTAGTCCCTGTGACAAGAGAAGTGTAAACAAACAACATGGCGAGGGTGGCATTCCATGTCAAGATCTCTGAAGGTTTTGGTTATTTTAACAACTATGAAAATGCCTTACAAGAAATCCAGTGTTTCCAGAGAGACACTGGAACCTACTTCTGCCAGGCCTGGAGCCACATGAAGGAATATAACCACCAAGGTTCTCATAAATGGTCTCCATCAAGGACCTTAATATATAATTTTTTTTATTTGTAAAAACATTATTATTGTAATCAAAACCAAGCGTTAAACCCACAAGGGTCATACAGCTCTGATATTAATCTTAAATATCACTAGAGTTTACAATTTATATGTAACGATTACGTGTTAAATCATTAAACCATTTTATAAATACAGAATGTAAATTGGAACTGAAATACAATTATAAGCTGTATTATGTAGATCTTGATCCAAGGGAAGGCGAAAAATAAGCAAGTTTATTTAGAAACATACCATATAAGTTCAGTTATTATATATATTAATATAAATTACCCACCAGGATAACCCAAAACAAGTCAGACAAAGTGACTTATTTCCGTTAGGGACCTTGAAACAAGAATATTTAGCAGTTGTGGTTAGCATAAATTGAAGAGCAAGACAGCAGTATATAAAGTGTAGGGAGGCCAAGCCCATGATGACACTCTTCAGGTCACTTGTTCTATCTAGGCTGGAATATTGCTGCACACTAACAGCACCTTTCAAGGCAGGTGAAATTGCTGACCTGGAAAATGTACAGAGAACCTTCACGGCGCGCATAACGGAGATAAAACGCCTCAATTACTGGGAGCGCTTGAGGTTCCTGAACCTGTATTCCCTGGAACGCAGGCGGGAGAGATACATGATTATATACACCTGGAAAACCCTAGAGGGACTAGTACCGAACTTGCACACGAAAATCACTCACTACGAAAGCAAAAGACTTGGCAGACGATGCAACATCCCCCCAATGAAAAGCAGAGGTGTCACTAGCACTTAAGAGACCATACAATAAGTGTCAGGGGCCCAAGATTGTTCAACTGCCTCCCAGCATACATAAGGGGGATTGCCAATAGACCCCTGGCTGTCTTCAAGCTGGCACTGGACAAGCACCTTAAAGTCGGTACCTGACTAGCCGGGCTGTGGCTCGTACGTTGGATTGTGTGCAGCCAGCAGTAACAGCCTGGTTGATCAGGCTCTGATCACAATGAGGCCTGGTCACAGACGGGCCGCAGGGGCGTTGACCCCCGGAACTCTCTCCAGGTAAACGAGGCTTGGTCACAGACCGGGCCACAGGGGCGTTGACCCCCGAACTCTCTCCAGGTATACTCCAGGTAATAAAGCTAATAGCATTCTTAGCTTTATATAAAGAAGTAAGGGTTATCAAGGGTAATGTTAATGCAAATAATCCTATTTATTTTATTCCTGGTGTATCTCCTTTTATTGTCACTGGTTTTTCACACAGTTTTAACTTTCAAGGTATAGTATACACAGACTTTGTGAAGGCCTTTGACAAATGCGACTGTGGTGTAATAGCGCACAAAATGCATGAATGCATGATAAAGGAATAACTGTTCCACAAGGCACAGTAGTTGCCCCCAACCTGTTCCTCATCTTCATATCTGACATAGACAGGGATATAAGCCACAGCACCGTGTCTTCCTTTGCAGATGACACCTGAATTTGCATGACAGTGTCGTCCATCAAAGGCACTACAAGTCTACAAGCGGCCATCAACCAAGCCTTTAAATGGGCTGAAGAAAATATTGTCAACAGTGTTACTTGTATAGTACACTTATATAGATATTCCCAATTAATTATAGTAAGGCTCCCTCGCTAGCCGTGACGTTACGTCACCCCATGAACCTGCGAGTCAGCCTAGCGGCCTCTGCCTCATTCCTCAGCTAGGTATAGGGATGGTAGACAGGCAAGCCTGGGACTTCTCTCAAGTTTTTGTAATATATGCCTCCAATATGGTCTACGTGTGATTTCACTCAACCATCTATCCCTTGATGAACCCCACAACAACAAAGAGAGATTTCAATTTCTCCAATATTGAAAACTTAAAGAAATTAAAAGTGTATTGAGTATAAAACAAATTCCAAGCACACGATAGTGCAGAAAACTTAGCGTGGAGGACCTGGTAATGATAATATCAGAGGATCTCAGTTTCAAAGATCACAGCAATGTATCTACCACATCTGCTGGGAAAAGGATAGGAAGGATAATGAGAACCTTCAAAGCAAGGGATGCCAAGCCCATGATGATTCTCTTTAAATCACTTGTTCTCTCTAGGCTGGAAAATTGCTGCACACTAATGGCCCCTTGCAAGGCAAGTGAAATTGCAGACCTAGAGAATATACAGAGAACTTTCACAGAATGTGTATGTACGATACAGCACCTAAATTACTGGGAACGGTTGAAGTCTTGATTTGTATTCCTTGGAATGCAGGCGAGAAAGATGCATGATAATGTACAGTTAGAAAATCCTAGAAGGACTAGTTCCAAATCTGCACATGAAAATCACTCCATACGAAAACAAAAGACGCAGCAGGAGATGCAACTTCTGCCCAGTGAAAACCAGGGGCACCACAAGTACACTAAGAGACAACACAACAAGTGTCAGGGGCCCAAGACTGTTTAACTGCCTCCAAGCACACATAAGGGGAATTACCAATAGACCCCTGACTGTTTTCAAGAAGGCGCTGGATGGGCACATAAAATCAGTACCTGACTTACCGGGCTGTAGTTTGTTCATCGGTTTCCATGTGGCTAACAGTAACAGCCTGGTTGATCAGACCCTGATCCACTGTGAGGCCTGGTCACAGACTGGGCTTCGAAGGCATTGGCCTCCCAAAACCCTCTCCAGATATACTTGAGACATAATCATGATTGATTTCTACTGTATCTTACAGCTATGCTTTAAATAATAATAAAAGGAGCCCAATGGAAATAAGTCACTTCGTCTTGACTTTTTTGGGTTGTCCTGGTGGGAAATTTACACGGTAAACTATGTATGATAATTGTACTTATGTGTACCTGTACCTAAATAAACTAACTTAAGTCCTCTGGTTGTACTTCGACTTTATATATACGTATTTGGTATAGCCTCATTTAGAGGACAAATGTGCTGGATAATATACCAAGGAGGATGAAGTTGATTTCATGTATCAGAGACATTTTCTGCAAACATCTATAGGCTGAGAGCACTGAACTTGAACTCTGTTGAAAGACAAAGAATTGGGGTAGATATGATTGAAGTGTTCACATTAAAAACAAGAATAAATAAAAGGGATAGGAAAAGTGTGTTAAAAATATTTAACCAAGACAGGACTAATAGCAATGGATTCGAGCTAGATAGATTTAGAAAGGATATTGGGAAGTATTGATTTGGCAGTAGAATTGTAGATGATTGAAACAAACTCCCTGGTAACATCATTGAGGCGAGAAGTTTTGGTAGTTGTAAATACAGCCTCTCCTCACTTAAAGACAGAGTTCCGTTCCTAAGATGTTGTCGGTAAATCAATTCGTCACTGAGGAACATACTGTAATGGTAGTGGGTGTGTGTCAACCATCTTTGATATTTATATTGTTTTAATGTCACTTTTGCACCATTTATAACATTTCTGGTATATTTTTAAATGTTTATATAGTAGTGTACTGTATATTGTAATAAACAGAAAAGAGGAAATCAGCTCTAATATACATTATTTAGATATATATGTATACTGGTCAGAGAGCCTGTCATAAGTCCGAGTCAGTGGTAAGCGAGTACGTCGCTAAGTGAGGAGAGGCTGTATAGGCTGGATGGGTACGAGTGGGTGTGGGTGAGTGTTAGTTGGCTCTGTCTAGCGTGGGCCAGTAAGCCTGCAGTGTTCCATCATTCTATTCCTGTGTTATAGTCCCCTTAAGGATGTCACTTTCAAAATCAAAGTTTATTTAGATTAAATTTAGTTATTCTTTATAATATCTGGTGAAGTCACTAATGTCAGTGAGTTATCCAGGCAGCAGGCTCTGTGATTTGGTAAATTATAACCACTAGCTATCTAACAATATAATTTAAGCTTATTTTAAGGTAGGTTATGGTAGTTAGGTTAGTGCTTGCTGATAATTTTACTTAATTTGTGTGAAGGAACTCTTTGCTTGAGGAAAGTGGATCACTACTTCTAAGGAGTGCTGGATCAGTCAGGCTGTGATGAATATGTGGGCCAATGAGCTGACAGCTTCAACAGTCTACTGGTGGCTTTATTGTTGATTGCCTGGTAGGCCAGGCAATCAGCAGAGAAGCCTGGCCCCAGGTTGAGCTGTGAACATAGGGTAGAGAAATTATCCAAACTGGTCACATGTATTATATGTATCACAGATTGGAAATATAAACCTGCAGGAAAATTTAATTTAAGAACGAGTTACAAAGACTGGCCTGTTATCCTGTTGTTTATGTATACCTTACATTTCATACATACCAGTACTCTATTTCACAAAATATTTATTTTTCAGATGTGAAGCCTGTTGCACACAAAATTTTTTGGAATGATGGTGAAAACAGCAAAATTAAAAAATGCCACTTAGACTATGATGGAATACCATACATTGTTCTTGGAAGTCGCATATATGATTGTCAGTATGGTGTTGATCGTAATTTAAATCATAAACGAAGATATAAGGAGGCTCAAATGAAGGGTGACAATTTGTTCAAGAAACGCTACCATCGCATCCCAGGGACCAAGAAACAAGATTGCCCAGCACAAATTTATCTCCGAGACATAATAAAATTTCCAAATTTCAGAATAACATCTAATACAGAATACTACAGAAAGAAGGCATCTTCTCAAGTGCAGAATGCCATAAAAGAAGGAAATGCATGTGGAGAAAGAAGGACGTATGTACACTTTCCCTATATGTCCGATCATAAAAATCATTGTGTAGAGGAGGTACAGGGGTTGAAACATCCCATTGACTCAAGAGTTAAAAAGAAGATACAAGACTTAGTTGCTGAAGGGATGACTGACAGTAAAGCTCTTAAAACAGCCCTTCGACTGTTTGTACAGACAGAGATATTTGCAGGACAGGATTCACCATCAAAAAGCAATCGGCATTTCTTTCCTAGAAAGTCAGAACTCGAAAATTGTGTCAGTTTGGCCACAATTAAGCTAAGAATATCAGAATCTGACCAGGAAAATGTCAAAGCCAAAATTAGAGAATGGCAGGAGTGTCAACCAGAGGACAAATTTTATTTCAGACCTTATGCAGATGTCAAAGATGAGGCTTCATTTCACCCTTGTGATTATGGCCAGCAGTTGTTGGTTGTACATCAAACTAAATGGCAGTGCCAGTTATTAGATTGCTATGGCCAAGAGTTCTGTATTTTGGATGGGACATACAAGAATCTGGAGAATTCTCTACCACTGTTTTTCCTGGTTGTTAAGACTAATGTTGATTATCAAGTTGCTGCATCTTTTCTGGTGCAGAGTGTAACAGAGACAGCTGTAAAAGAGGCACTTAATGTTTTAAAGAATGGAATCCTAAATGGAAGCCTTCAGTCTTTATGTCTGACTTTTCAAAAGTAGAAATTTCTGCTATTGAAGAATCATTTAATAATGTAAAAGTTCTACTTTGTGACTACCAACGTGAACAAGCATGGGAGAGATGGGCACTAAATGCTGATGGTGGTGTTTATTCAATAAAAGAGGAAGTTCTTTTTAACCTAAGAACACTAGCTCACTCCAATTCATTACAAGAGCTTAGTGAAGCAGAGAAGCACTTATTCAACAGTGACCTATGGTTAAAGAACCAAAAGTTACGAAAGTGGTTTGGAAAAGTCTGGCTTCCTGAACATCAGGTATGTTCATACTTTGGTCATTAAAAGATATCATGGAAAATACAAATACTGTAATTTCTTATTGGTTTTCTTATGAATAATTTATGTTTAAGTGTATTGTTGTAGTAATGCATAATTGGCACTCTTCTAACTCAAGTTTGCATTTTTGTTTATAGTATTTATTTCCACAATTTATCTGCCTTTGTAAATTCTATATATATTGACTTGTCTTATTTATTACTAAACCAGGTATGTACATATCTGGAATTGTCACATATTTTATCCTGAATACAGTACAGTGGAACCCCGAGTTTCAAACCTTCATTCCAGAAGGCTGTTCGAGTGCCATTACTGAACGAATTTATTCCCATAAGAAATAATGTAAATTGGAATTGTTGGGACATTGCATCTGAGGCTTGTAAACTACTACAATGACCAGATTTTGGTTCTCAATCTTTACTGCTAAAATTTCAACTACATCATTTGAGGCATTTATCAGTTCTGTGCAAATAAGTGACTGCGATATACACCCCCCCCCCCCTTCTGCCTATTCAGTCGCATCTGTATAGGTTGTAACCTGGGATCCATATTTCATTGTCCGAGTGATCCTTCATGTGGGTCTCTGTGAAAGCCGCGAACATTGCATTTGCCTCTGCAAGCAGTCCACGGATGAAAGGCATTTTGTTGTTCGTTGCTGGCTTTAGACCCTATATATTTGTAAAGAAGAATGTCATCAGATTGGTGGTACTGGGGGGAAGTTTTTTTCCCTGGCACTAATATCTGTATCTGTTGGTTTGGAGTGGAGGCCATCAACTGTGATTCCACTCCAGAACTGATTGGATTTGGTGTACGATTTCTGCCATTTCCGCCAGTTTTTTTTCCTTCCTGGCACTAAAAAACCTCTTCTCTTGAGTGGCTGGGGCTACCCAGGTTTTTCCATGGTCTGGATGTTTTGTATCTTTTTGTCCCCTTTAGATGGTGTCCATGGCAATATAAGTTATAGCACAGTCTTTCCTGTGCTGAAGAGGGACACATTTCAGGGTGAAAAAGCTTACAGGAAGGGAGGTTGCATTTTCCTGTTGTCATATGGGCATGGCATTTTCTAGGGTGGTCAAAGTTGCACATCCCATCTGTTTTTGCAGATATTCCATGCCTGCAGATACCAAGTGCATAATATTTGCACAGATTTGGTTTCTGTTTGCCTTGGATTTTTGTGACTGTATTCCCTGCTGGTGCATGTTTTCCTGTCTCATTTCTATCTTCACTAGTACACTAACAATGGAGCTCTCACCAGTTATTTCTGGTAATTTATCTTCACTATTTCTAGTGGAATTCCCTTGTTTGCTATCTCCTGTGATACTGCTAGTTTGTAATATTGGTGCTAAATTTTTCAGGGTCTTTCTCAGTGAAAAAGTCTGATAGTTGAGCAGCAACATGGAACTGCTCACATAACTTTTGCAATGTTCACTGCTTTTCTTCAGGTTCTTCTTCCTCAACTTCCTCTATTATCTACCTCCCTGGTATCTGGGCATAGATCACATTTTAATCATTGGTCTGCTGTACATAAGCACTAGCCTTTAACAGTCAACTAATTTATATCAGTCATAGAAGAACACTTAGCTTCACAGATATAAAGAATGAAGAAGTTACAGTATCATGGCTGGTCCATTTGTCCAAGACAAATTGCTTAGTCGGTAAAGAACTGAAACATTGTCATGAGGTTTCGAGGTTTCTCTCTCATGTGCAAGTTTTTGGCGAGTTAGTAAATTTAAGTTCAAAATGAAAAACAATCAATTAGCTGACCAGTTGTTTACATTTTCCTTTCTTTTCAGAGATGGGTCTGGGCATACCGAAAAGATCACCTTCCTGACATCAACACCTATAGTGGGATCAAACAACTTAACGAAACTTTCAACTATTTCTATACGAAGAATCCACATCAGCATGCTCTTAGTGGATTGCTTGTGGTTCTTGTGAAATATTTTATACCTGATTTGTACACTAAATATATACAGGTTAGTTGGCTGGGAGCCTACAGATTATTATTGTTATTATTATTATTATTATTATTATTAAATTATTAATTATATTATTAGTATCAATTATTATTTCTACAATATTTATTATATTCATTTGAAATACTAAACTCAGGGTGGCATACAGTGCCTGGACAATGGAAGCTAATCACTTTTGTTTCATGAAATGATAGAGGTCGCTTCAGATTTTTTGATCAAGAGACTTCCCAGTTGCCAGGTGCTCACCCCCTCCACTTAAAGGGTCTCATCACATATGTTAGTCTCAGTGTCATGTGTTTTGAGGTTCTCACTCAGTTGCTTTTATCTTTGTACAGTACTCTCTATCCCAGCTGCCCTCATGTCTTAGTTGCAAGGTTTAAAAGTAAGATTAATTATCATTTCTTGTACTTCAGAGAAGTGCTGAAGAAGAAATAGAAACCAGCATTCCAGAGGAATCACAGACGTATGAGCAACCTGAAGAAAACTTTGCACTGAAATGTCGTGAAGTGATTGACCATATCCGCAGTTATACTTTCCTCTTGGATGATCCAGTGATACTGAAGGAACTCTATGAATCTCTCTTAATTGCATTTGACACTGTTTTAGATTATGCTGAGGGTAAAAGGGGATCCTCATCAAGGGAGAAAGAACATAAATCAAAGTTAAATCAGATCTTGGATTATGAAAATAAATCTTGCCTCAAATTATCACAGGAAAGAAAGGAAAGGTTGAGAGTTCCAGTACAGGAAAATGCCTGTGTAAGTTCTGAAACTTATGAAGTATTAGCACCCATTGAGGATAATAATAAATTTGGTGATCTTATAGTTGGGTCAGAATGGACTCATCCTGAAAGTGAAGGTGTCGAGGCTTGTGTTGCCTACGAAACAGTTATGGAGAGTAGTAACTGTGAAATGGCAATGGAATCAGTGCAAAGTGAAGAAACTATGCACATGAAACCATTGCATATCAGTAGAAACTCAAATGTAAACCAGCCCTTGGAAAATGAAAAAAGCATTATCAAAGTCTGTGTAGGGGAAAAGTCGTGTATAAGGCCTAGGATTTTTCAAGTTCTAGTTCCAGTTGAAGAGAATAATAAATTTGAAGAGATTGAAATTGTTGCAAAGGAAAAACCAACTGTTACATCAGAAACTTACCAGGTTTTGGTACCTGTTGAAGACAAAAGTCAACTTGGTGATTTTGTGGTGGAATCAGACTGGACTCACTCACAAAGTAGCGAGGTAGCATCTTATGTGACCATTTCAGATACTAGTCAGAGAAAGAGAAAAAGAATAGCAAAGGGGACATCTGTTAAAGTGGAAAAAGTAGAGGATGATGATAAAGCACACAGATCTGCTAACAGTCTTAACAAATCACAAACAGTTGATGGATTAGATATGGCTATATTCAAAGCTTCCTTGTGAAAATTAGGAGACTCTTGATAGACCTAAGCAATGAGTTGATATACACCACAACTGTTTCATGGAATTGTCCTGAAAACCAAAGCATGTTTTTCTACCTTTTCCCATGCTCTCTCGCCCATCCCCTTTCTACCCATCTCACCTGTCGCCTCTTCCCATTCCCTCTTCCTCCAAGGCCCATGCCCATTCTTCACTTTCCGTGCCCTGCCACCCCTCCTCTTTCCACTTACCCCCTTTTGGATCTTTCAGCACTGGTGAGCTCTGCTGCCTCTACCACATACCATGTATTGCACTTTACAACATAATTCAGAGTATTTAATATATGGTATTTGTATTCTCAAATTTCTTAAGGTACATGTCCTCTAGGGGAGGATTCTTGATACTGGTGAGAGGCTCTTGATCTAAGGAATTGGACCTGCCCTCTCGTTCCTTGGATTGAATCTAAATGCCTTTCATCCCCAGGTGCTGTATAACCCTTGTGGGTTTAGCACTCTCCATAACTGCATTTAAGATGCATAAAATTAATATATAATAAGGCTACTTAAAATATTTCAAACTGAAGTTGATCAAGGGTGTGTTAGCTTATGAAATAAATTTAAATCCCAGAACTAATAGGCATCCTGCACTGTATAACCTTGGTGGTTTAGGGCTTGCTTTTTTATTATAATAATAATAATCAGACCTGCTGAAATAACTAGTTTTTATTAAAAATGACTTTAAATTTTTTTAATTTGACTTGCCAAATATTCTAAAGTAAAAAATATCTAATCTAAGACATTCAGATCATGCAAAGCACCTAGTGATATACATCATTAGCTACAGTGTCTTATACTGCACCTAGTGACTGGTACATTACTGAGTATAGTGCCTTAAACAGGACATCTAAGGTCTTTCTTTCAATGCCCCTGCTGTATCCCACTGAAGCAGGGTGGCTCAAAAAGAAAAACAAAAGTTTCTCTTTACAAATTTAGTAATGTATACAGGAGAAGGGGTCGCTAGCCCCTTGCTCCAACATCTAAGGTATATGCTGTAATTTATTTTTTCCAACATGATGGCTACACATGGTGCACACATGACAGCTGCACATAACACGATAGCTGCACAGCACACATGACAGCAGCACATAACACAGCTGCACAACACACACATGACAGCTGCACATAACATGATAGCTGCACAACACACATGACAGCTGCACACGACACACATTTAGGAATAAATTATGGTAAGTATGGAGAGAAACTGGAAAATAATGTAATGCAGTTTTTTAATGAAAAATTTATATTAACCATAAAAGTAAAAGTAGATTGTAAGTTACCAGATTGTATCCGAGTTTTCAAATATACGTAATTCTAGTTACAGCATATTTTAAGAATTATCTGTATTCATTGCAATGTATCCAGTGAGATGTATTCAATGAGATGTATTCAGTGAGATGTATTCAGTGAGATGTATTCAATGAGATGTATTCAATGAGATGTATCCAGTGAGATGTATTCAGTGAGGTTCATTCAATGAGATGTATTCAGTGAGATGTATTCAGTGAGATGTATTCAGCGAGATGAGTTTTTCTTGTAAACTAAGTAGTTTAGAAAAGTACTTGAATCTTTCCCTTATGTGCCTTTAGACACTAAAAATTTTTCAGCTTGATTACTCGCAGTGACTTAATTTTTATTACAAGAGATACCTGGTATTTGCATAGACAGGTGCAGGTTTTCTCAGAATATATATAGATGGTTCAGCATCTACATAAGATTCCAGAGTAATTATGGCTATTATCTACATCCCATTATACACCCTTTGATACTGAAATTTTTATGGGACATTTAGGCAAGTGGATGTTATCAGTTAAATAACCAAAAGCTTCATTAAGTGGATAATCATATGATTAAACCCCACATCAGGAAATACTTTTTCATTTAATTTGACAACTGAAATTCCTCTGCAACTTGCCACCAAATGACAGAAAGCAAAGACAAATGTGACAGAAATAATTTACTCTTGACAGCAATATATATTTTACAAAATTACTAAGGCAAACAGCACTGGCTAAACTAATAATAAAAGCAAGCTTTTATTAAAGTAATCTCTAGAAGCTGTTTACTCAAACTGTTGATAAAGTATTCCACGTGTGTGTATATACACAGGAAGAACTCTTTTTAACTTGTCACTTTTTTTTTAAACATGGCTCTGTCTCACTGAGGTAGGGTGACCCAAGAAAGAAACACTTTCACCATCATTCACACTATCACTATCTTTCCAGAGTTGCATAGATACGACAGTTTAAATGTCCCTCCAAATAGCAAATATCCCAAACACCATTAGAGTGCAGGCATTGTAATAATAATAATTCTCAAAACAAACTTTACTAACATTGACTTTCCATTATTCTAACCCATATTTAAGTTAATCTTTTCAAGTGGCCTTTTTCTTTTTTTTACCAACTCGCAATATTAAACAAGGTTTAACTGTACTGTAATAAGGAATTTCAACCATTCTAGTATAATTATACAAGGGTGACAGTACTGTAGGCTTGGGAAGGTGAACTGGAGTTAGTATTTACCATGGGTTGACTTTTTTCCAAACAGGGTGCCTTGATACTGGTAAAGTGCTTTTGATCTAAAGAATTAAACCTACCCTTCTCTCACTTGAATCAAACCTAATTGCTCCTCATACCCCAGATGCTGTATGTCTCCTGTGGTTATCACTTTTTGTGACTTACCAGTAATACACCTCAGTCCCCCTTTTCCTTATTATTATATGAGCATCATAGATAATTTATAACAAGCAGTTGTGACAATATTGGCAGTTAAATCTTAAACATTATGAAGCAGTGGCTAGATGGATCTCCATATTTGTTGGAGGTACTTCATGAAGCAACTAGACTTATCAAGGGATGGTGGTGAAGGACTTGATTCGAGGATCCCTAGAGAGGGTCATAGATACGTACTTGTAAGGGAGCTTTTATTCCAAGGAATTGAATTTGTCCTCTTGGATCGAACCTAATTACCTCCTGTCCCATAGGCACTGTATGACTCCTGTGGGTTTAGTAGTTCCAAAATATAATTGATTCAAGGAAATAGTGCTAACCTCCCCTTCCTTAGTTCAAACTTGATTACCTAGATTCCCTATTCACTGTGTAACCCTAGTGAGTTCAGTGCTTCCTCATAAATGATAGATGACTAAACTGTCCCATGAAGCCCAGTACAGCTTCCTGTATTATATCTTTCATATAGCTGAATTGTCTTCTAATTTCTTCATTTCATGTTTTTTGCATAATCACATGTCACACAATAACCTCAAATAATGTGCCTTTACTGCCTCTCTCCCATACTTAGATTATGCTGCTCGGTTTTGGTCTCCATACTACGGAATGGATATAAATGCATTGAAGAACATACAGAGAAGGCTGATAAAATTAATTCACTATGCATAAGGAATCTCAAAGAAGATAGACTGAGAGCGCTGAATTTCACTCTAGAGACGTAGAATGAGGGCAAATATCATTGGGATATATACAGGAGGGCCCAGTTTTACAGCACTTTGCTAAAGCAGTGGTTTTCAATTATACCCATTCTTCATTTATTCAGACTTCCTGCAAAAAATATGTTCGCTCACTATAAGATAAGGACAAAAATATCTTAAGGTAAGCGATGTGTGTACTGTATGTTGCTATCAGACTTTTATATGCATTTGAAAGTAAAAAAAAGCTATGCTTCACTTTACAGCAATTTTTGCTTTACAGGAGTAACCTGGAACCTAACCTGCTGTATAAACAGGGCCCTACTGTAAGTGGAAAGATGGCCATAAACAAAGGCAATATAAATACAGTACTGAGGATATTGAAACAAGTACTAAAAATAATAGATTTAAACTGGATAAATTTAGATTTAGGAAGGACGTAGGTATGTATGTACTGGTTTTCAGAGGTGTTGATGCATGGCACAATCTTCCTTGTAGGGTAATAGAAGCTTGATTAATTACTGTGATCTTGAAGCAAATTGTTGGGTAGCTGTGGGAAAAGGTTGGAATAGTGGGTGGGTGGGTGGGAATGGTTGGTTTTGAGAAGGATCTGCTTTGTATGGGCCAATAGGCCTGCTGCAGTGTTCCTCCATTCTCATGTTTGGCTCATGCCAGGGATAAATTCCAAACCCTCAATGTGTAAGCTGAGGTCACTAACAACCAAGCCATCAGTTAGTTTAATATCTTTATTATGCACCTCATATCCATCCTGTGGGTGGTCAAAATATTAGAGGCACATAATGGGTTCAGGGACTGAGGCGCAAAGTTTTGATAGCTATGCAAGTTACGGTGTATCTTGATCGTTCGCTGTCATATAAAGATGGAAAGAATTGTTTCTAGTATATTTGCCAAGAATCTAGAAATCATATAACTATCTGAAAGTTGTCTCTTAGCTTGATTGGTAGTGCACTCAGCTCTCACTGAGGTCAGTGGTTCAATTCCCAGGACGGGTGAAAACATTAGGACGTGTTTCCTTAAGACACCTGCTGTCCATGTTAACCTAGCAGTAAAATAGGTACCTGAGCATTAGTTGAATGGTGTGAGTTGCATCTTGGGACAAAATTGACCTAATTTGCTAGAAATACTCTGCATAACAAGGAGGTTTCAGTATAGTAGTATGTTACTGATGTCAGTTATGGTCTGTATACCTTATACGTACATGTACAGTGGACCCCCAGTTAACGATATTTTTTCATTCCAGAAGTATGTTCAGGTGCCAGTACTGACCGAATTTGTTCCCATAAGGAATATTGTGAAGTAGATTAGTCCATTTCAGACCCCCAAACATACACGTACAAACGTACTTACATAAATACACTTACATAATTGGTCGCATTGGGAAGTGATTGTTAAGCGGGGGTCCACTGTACTTGTAGAAATAGATTATTATTATTATAAAGTGGCTGTGTCCTCTTTCAGGACAAGTGGAGTTTGCTGAGAGGTTCCAAGTGAAGAGGCGGTGTCCTTAGAGTTCGTTTTTCAAAAGTTGAAGGTGGCAGCAGGACAGCTGTACGTGGGCATGGCCACATATGTTCTCTGCCTATATTATTATATTTATGGGGGGGGGAGTGGCCAGGCTTAGGCAGTCTTCATGCTGGCACTGGACAAGCACCTAAAGTCAGTACCTGACCAGCCGGGCTGTGGCTTGTACGTTGGATTGCGTGCAGCCAGCAGTAACAGCCTGGTTGATCAGGTTCTGATCCACCAGGAGGCCTGGTAACAGACCGGGCCGCAGGGGCGTTGACCCCCAGAACTCTCTCCAGGTAAACTCCAGGTAGCCCCTTGGGGCCTAGTTCCTGGGCCTTTTGTGTATCCATATGCTCTTACGCTACCGTCCACAGGATGGATATGGGGTGCACAATAAACTAGCCACTTCGGTTGCAAAATCTATGGGAGGGGAGCACTAAACCCATAGGGGGTTATACACTGCCTTGGGGAATGGAAGGCATTCAGGCTTGATTCAAGGAACTGGAGCATTGGTCCATTCCTTAGATCAAGAATCCCTCACCAGCATCAAGGAACCTTCTGTAAGGGTCTCTCTCAGCCTATAAAGGCAGGTGATTACGCTGGGCATGTTTCCTACCTTCCTCAAGGAAGGTTCCTTGATGTTGGTGAGGGGCTCTTGATTTAGGGAATTGGATCTGTGCTCCAGTTCCCCGAATTAAGCCTGACTGCCTTCCACATCCCCCCCAGGTGCTGTATAATCCTCCAGGTTTAGCGCTTCCCTCTTGATTATAATAATAAATAACATACCAATGGCGGGATTTGAACCCGCGGTCAAAGAGTCTCAAAACTCTTATTGTGGCTAGCTGGTCCAGTGGCTAACGCGACGGTCTGGAGTTTTGAGACTCTGACCGCGGGTTCAAATCCCACCCGTGGTTTGTTTTTTTCCACCTAGCAGTAAGTAGGTACCTGGGTGTTAGTCAACTGGTGAAGGTGGCATCCTGGCCTAAAGACCACGTTGTCTTGAGACCAGGATGGGTATGAATTTTAGTTTAATTGTGCCACCTTAACTGCTGGTTTATTGTGCATCTGCAGTTTATCCTGTGAATGGTAGAGCAAAAAACAAACACACACACACACACACACACACACACACAGTGAGTACAACTAGGTGAGTACACACACACACACACACACACACACACACACACACACACACACACACACACACACACACACACACACACACACACACACACACACACACACACACCAGGCACACATAACAGGAAAGGCACTGCAATGGATCAGAGAATATCTGACAGGGAGGAAACAACGAGTCATGGTACGCGACGAGGTGTCAGAGTGGGCGCCTGTGACAAGCGGGGTTCCAC